GGAAAAAACGCTTGCAGTGCACGCCGATTGCCCCCTCGGAGACATCGCGTGCGTGCTCTTTGCCCAAACAAACAACGCATAGATCGTGTGTGTCATCAGATGTTAAACAACGTCAACACGGATCCACACATCCTTAAACGCTTTGCTAGTGCTCGCCATAATGAGATGAATAGAGATCGCTCTTACCACAGAAATGCACGCTTCAAACAAAACAGTCAATGAAGACGAAGAAGAGAATGATGTATGCTCCCGGCACCTATTTATACTATAGTCGCACCGATAGTGACGTCATGGCTGTCGCCGGCCAAGAAGTTAGTGTTTTTTCAATGTATGCTTCAGACACGGGTCACGACGAGGCGTTCCCCATAGCGACCCCTAGAGGACGCAGTTCGAAGTTCCCATGAAAGGGAACTGTAATTTCTGTTAGATTTTTGTGTGTTACATAGAGAATTGTGTGTGTGAAATCGAAAACTGAGTCAAAGGCCGAGAATTGGTGAATAGAATTGGCGAATAGAATTGGTGTTTGAGTAACAGCTTTCAGAAATTGTGTGACAAGTAAAGATTTTGTGTGTAAGCAGTTGAAAACGACTGTAATTGTGCTCTTTTTGATGGCTTTTGTGGCGTTTTGTCTTTCAGGAAAGCACCGTTTCACAGGAGAACAACTGAGACGAGGGAAGCACGCCGGCGCTCGATGGAAATGTACACATTAAATTGAAACCGCAGTGATGTTTAAATCTTGCTCCAGCTCTTTTTTTTAAGATTGGCAAAGGACAGTGGGAAGAGGGTCTCGCTGGTAATTCAAGGCTCTTAATCGTGGCCTGAATAGACGCATTAGTCCAGCCGTTCTCCCAGCATTCCTGTGTAATCATGCTTTTGTGCCGTTACGGGACGGATTTATGAGAAGAATCTGTGAAAGCTCCAGCAGAACTCAGCACTTGCTCTCCATCTCCACACGCTCTTTTATTCCGCGTCCAGAGAGCTTATGTTTATGAATCTTGCCGTCAGTAATCGATGTCTCGTGGAACAAATATGGTCTCTGCATTTGTAATCTGGAGCTTTTATTTAAAATGGACCTGAATCTTAGCTGGAAATTCATTTTTGATTTAACATTGAAGTAAATAAAATGTTTCCCAAATGTTGTTTTTTGTGTGCATCTGCATGAATTGACACTACAGATCTTGATTCTTGCATTTTCTCCAAAGGGACTTGCATGTGATCAGTTCTTGCTTTCTCAGGGAACCGAATCGTTGATGAATCAGATGAATCTACTAAAAGATTCGTTTGTTTCTCAAATGTGCATTTGCTTAAAGAAATGAACCTCCAACACAGGCTTCTTGCAGGAAACTAAAACCTTTTTTTTTTGTGTGTTACTTAAAGTTATTGTCAACTGAAATGAAATATTATATAAATAAGGACACACTGAAATAACACTTGATACGATGGATCAGGTGAGTGAATATGAATGAATCCTGCATTGGATTCTGCAGCTACGTTTCTGACATGATCTGATCGACTCGCTTCTCAGTGTTTCTGAACTAACAGACTTCCAGACGTTTCTGAGATTCGTGTTGATGCACGTCTGCAGGCATCTGCCACATTCTTCATTCACACTCGAGAAGCTCCTATAGATCATATTTCTCATGATGATGAACACAGCTGCAGGGGAAGTGAGGGAGGTTATCATGCAGAAAAGCATCAATTCAGTGAAAAACAAGAGCAGAATCCTCTTTAATCTCATTAATACAACTCAAACTGAAGAAAAACACCGGAGTTCAGTGAAGCACATGTGAGGAGTTAGTGATGAATTAGTGAGGCTTTCTGATTGGTTGTGTTTGAAAAAGGAAATCAAGATACTTCCTGTTAGATTTGTGTGTTGTGTTTTGCAAAAAGTGTTTTATGAAACTGAAAACTGAGTCAGAGGCTGAGAATTAGTGTATGGTTTTGCAGATTTGGTGTGTGCTTCTGCTGTTTGAGTGTCAGCTTTCAGAAACTGTGACACGTAAAGATTTAGTGTGCAAGCAGATGAAAACACTAAAGTAGGTGGAGATATTTGCAGTGTGTTCTCATATGGCGTCGAAGGTTGGGTTCAGTGTGATTGTGTGGTTTCTTGTCCTCTGTGTGTTGTGTAACGTGTGAATGGCAGTGGCTTGCTCCTGTTGGTCCGCTGTATTAATAATGTGCCAACAAAATCAACACTGCAGGAACCTTGAGCCCGCTGAGAGCAGGAACTCAGTCACGTATCGCCTCACATTAACAGCAGACCCAGCCTCTCGCTCAGAGCGCTGTTTGTCTGTCTCTGACCTCAGCTGTAAAGGTCACGAGAAACACTTTCGTGGGTTTCATAACCTCAGTCACACACAAATGTTTTTATCATATCTGTGAAAAGAGCCATAAAACATTACGACTGTTTATCTGCGTTTATCATTCATCGTCTCTTCATCAGGACGCACATCACAGAAGCAGAAACTGGAACAAAGGTGTAAGACATTCATAACCACACACAGGAATAACTCATCAGCATCAGCAGATAACACAAGATATTTATTGAACCGTCTTTATCTGTTAATATCTGATGAAGTGAGTGTGTGTGTGTGTGTGTGTGTGTGTCTGCGTTTATCATTCATCGTCTCTTCATCAGGACGCACATCACAGAAGCAGAAACTGGAACAAAGGTGTAAGACATTCATAACCACACACAGGAATAACTCATCAGCATCAGCAGATAACACAAGATATTTATTGAACCGTCTTTATCTGTTAATATCTGATGAAGTGAGTGTGTGTGTGTGTGTGTGTGTGTGTGTGTGTGTGTGTGTGTGTCTCATATTGTGAATAACAGTGTCATTAATAAGACAAACGGCTGTTTTTTGCTCAAAGGAATTCAACGGAAATCAGCAGGATTTCAGTCGTCTTCATCATAGAGTCACAGCTCCAAACATCACAAAGGAAAAATGTGCTTTTTAAGGACACTGAGCAGATGAGAGGTCAGGAATAATAATGTTAATCAGCAGATTTAATATTTTAATCATCATCAACAGATTTGACTCAGAAGCCTGTGGCTTTGCCTGGATCTATGGATCGTATCATTTGATCTGATTTACATTTAATAATTTAGCAGATGCTTTTATCCAAAGCGACTTACAAATGAGAACAATAGAAGCTATCAGACCAACGAGAGAACAACAGTATACAAGTGCCATGACTCAGTTAGTCTAGCACAGCACACATAGCTAGGTTTTTTTTTATTTATTTTTTTTATTAAATAATAGAATGGAATAGAATAGGTAAGTGCTAGTATTAGTTGGTCAGGTGATTGCGAAAAAGATGTGTCTTTAGATATATTTTTTGAAAATGGCTAGAGACTCAGCTGTTCGAATTGAGATCGGCAGGTTGTTCCAGCAGCTGGGCACAGTCCAGGAAAAGTCAAGTCAAGTCACCTTTATTTATATAGCGCTTTTAACAAAACAGATTGTGTCAAAGCAACTGAACAGCATTAATTAGGAAAATAGTGTCAATAATGCAAAATGACAATAGTAAACACAAATTTTTCAGTTAAAGGCAGTTCATCATTGAATTCAGTGATGTCATCATCCAGCTCAGTTCAGTTTAAATAGTATCTTTGCAATCAAGTCAACGATATCGCTGGAAATGAAGTGTCCCCAACTAAGCAAGCCAAAGGCGACAGCGGCAAGGAACCAAAACTCCATCGGTGACAGAATGGAGAAAAAACCTTGGGAGAAACCAGGCTCAGTCAGGGGGCAGTTCTCCTCTGGCCAGACAAAACCAGCAGTTCAATTCCAGGCTGCAGCAAAGTCACATTGTGCAGAGGACTCATCTGGTTCCTATAAATTCCTTGGTTTCTATACTCTTGGTCTCCTCGTTCCTTGCTACGTGTTCCCGCACCATAGCAGAGCGTGACAGTAGGCAAACACCAGTACCTTGAATTTGATGCGAGCAGTTACTGGTAGCCAGTGTAACCTGATGAGGAGAGGAGTAACGTGAGATTTTTTTGGCTCACTGAAGACCACTCTCGCTGCTGCATTCTGGATCAGTTGCAGAGGCTTGATATGCGGGAAGGCCCGCCAAGAGAGCATTACAATAGTCAAGTCTGGAGAGAACAAGAGCTTGGACAAGGAGTTGTGTGGCTTGCTCTGACAGGAAGGGTCTAATCTTCCTAATGTTGTATAAGGCAAAGCTGCAGGACCGGGCCGTTGTAGCAATGTGTTCTGTGAAGCTTAACTGATCATCGATTACAACTCCTAGGTTTCTGGCTGTCCTGGAAGGAGTTATGGTTGATGAACCCAGCTGTATAGAGCAGCTGTGATGAAACGATGGGTTTGCTGGAACCACAAGCAGTTCTGTCTTAGTAAGGTTGAGTTGAAGGTGATGGTCCTTCATCCAGCTAGAAATGTCTCTCAAACAGGCTGCAATGCGAGCAGCTACCGTCGGATCATATGGTTGGAATGAGAAGTAGAGTTGAGTGTCATCAGCATAGCAGTGATAAGAAAAGCCATGCTTCTGAATGACAGATCCTGAAGATGACATGTAGATGGAGAAGAGAAGAGGTCCAAGCACTGAGCCTTGAGGAACCCCAGTAGCAAGAAGCTGTGACTTAGAAACCTCACCCTTTCAAGACACCCTGAAGGACCTACCTGAGAGGTAAGACTTGATCCACTGGAGTGTGGTTCCTGAGATGCCCATCTTCATGAGGGTGGACAGGAGAATCTGGTGGTTAACTGTGTCAAAAGCAGCAGACAGATCCAGCAAGATGAGTACTGAGGATTTGGAAGCTGCTCTTGCCAGTCTCAGGGCTTCAGTAACTGAGAGCAGTGTAGTCTCAGTTGAGTGGCCGCTTTTGAAGCCAGATTGGTTGTTGTCCAGGAGGTTGTTCTGTGCAAGAAACTTAGAAAATTGGTTGAACACAACTCGCTCAAGTGTCTTTGCAATGAACGGAAGAAGGGATACCGGTCTGTAGTTTTGGGTTTAGAGAGGGTTTCTTAAGCAGTGGGCTTACCCAAGCCTGCTTAAATGCTGTGGGAATGTACCAGTGTGAAGAGAGGTGTTGATAACGTGAGTGAGCGCGGGTGTAACTGAAGAAGAAATGGCCTGAAGGAGGTGAGTGAGGATAGGATCAAGTGGTCAAGTAGTAGGATGATTGGAAAGGATAAGTTTGGAAATGTCCGTCTCCGAGAGTGGAGAGAGGGAGGAGAGAGAGTGTGTATTTGTCGTTATGAAGTTATCATCGGTTTGTGGTGTGGGGAATTGGTTACTGATGGTTCTTGTTTTATTTGTGAAGAAAATTGCAAAGTCATCAGCTGTAAGAGTTGATGAAGGAGGAGGGGGAGGAGGACAGAGAAGAGAAGAGAAAGTTTTGAAAAGTGTGCGAGGGTCAGAACAGTTGTTAATTTTGTAACATATTTAACAAGATTTAGGACAATAGAAGCAATCAGAATCAACAAAAGAGCAATGATACGCAAGTGCTATAACAAGTCTCAGTTAGCTTAACACAGTACACGTAGCAAGGGTTTTTTTAATTCTAAAATAAAAAGAAAACAGATAGAATAGAAAAAGAAAAGAGCAAGCTAGTGATAGAGGCCGTTTTTTGCTTTTTGTTAATTGTATAATAAATAAAAGAAAGCAAATAGATAGAATACAAAAAAGCTAGTGTTAGTTATGTTTAAAGAAAACAAGCAGTTAGTAAATGAATAGAGTGCAAGTCTAAAAGGGGCAAGTTTTGTTTGTTTGTTTTTTTCAACGAAGTCAACAGAAAAACAAACAGCACACAAACATCAAAATGACTGACGATTCAGAGTCGCCTGCTGTAGAAAACCTCTGTGATGAGCATTAGGGGTTTTATTGTTTATTTATGGAATGGATCATGTATTTTATGAGAGTGTAAATGTGTCCCATTAACCCAGAAACTGTGAAGCGTCCGGCACAAATGTAGCATGAAGACTGAAGCACAAACAGGAATCCGTGACGTGACGTCTTCACTATAGTGCTTTGTGTGAGATACTGAGGCAATGCACATGTTGGCTGTGAAGGAGAATGAGGCGGTTTTGGGACAGCTAACAGCAGACTACAGCTCATGCCACATCATCATCATCATCACTACACAGGGCTGCTGAATGCTGCTCTC